GTATTTACTTGATTGTAAGACCGAGTTCCTAAAGAGGGGTATTGCTATAGCCTAACTTTTTCCGTTCCTAAGAAGCTGTAAGTACATGCATTCTCCCCCTGCCCCCCCGCCCAGAGAACTTACTAAACCACCTAAATTTCTCCTACACTGCACAAAGCACGATCATCCTGATTGCATCAGTGGCTATTTGCAGCCCAAGGCTACATGCAGTTCAGAGACATACCTTTGGATCACCTGAGGAACCTGAGCTGATGGAGATGTTCCAGCACAGGACGGGTAGGACAAAAAGCAGCGATCAGTCCCAGCCGTTTTCTGTGGTAAGCCCAGTAAAGGGGCAGAGCCAAGCCATCCTGTGGTTGAAGAGCCTGGGAAGAAGATCTGGATTGGAGGCCAGTCTGTCTGAGGGATTTCAAACCCACAGCTCCCACTTCAAGGAGTGGGCACAAAGCTGGGAGTGCTGTCGTAACTGTTGGAACTGTCTGTCCTGCTGTAGCTGAACCTGGGCATATATATACTGAAATGCATAATTTTGGGACTTTTGCAGACAGGCAAAAAAAAAAAAAAAAAAAAAAAAAAAGCAGGAACCTAATTTTGTAGCATTTGCTAGAGCCTTTTTATTCACTGAGTAGACTGCAGGAGGTGAGGGGAAGGGAAGCAATCCCCAGTCCTGCTGTTTGGCATGAGAAGTAAAGAACTTGGGATCCATTTACTGCCTGAAACCATAACCTACTGGTCTGCAGTCCACTTTTCCTTTAGCATTGGAAAGATGGTATTTCTAATTTCCGTTTTACTGACACTAAAATAGTTCTAGGATGAAACGTAAAGACACGGGAGGCTCAGAAGGCACATATGAACCAACACGCAGGAGGTCTGTGTAACAGCCAGAAACAGCACCTCTCCTCTGGTGCTGCAGCCCCATGTCTGAGCACTCTCTTACTCGTACAGTTTCAGAATAAAGGCATCAGTTTTACTTCAGCTTACACTTTGGTTCCAGATAGCTAGCACCTTATTTTTAATTTCCTCTGTCCTATCATGACATAATTTTCCAAGTGTACATCATTATGGTAATTTACTTCAGTAATTTGGATTGACTCATTAAATCGCTTCCTTTTCGTCTTTACAGATGAACCATATTTAATGGCTGTATTACATAACATACACCTACCAGGACTACTCTGAACTTTCTTGAAGGGCAGTTTAGTTCTGTTCCACCACATTTATCTGAGCATCTAAGTCTCATTTTGAAGATGTACTTTCAATTACTATTCTGGTCACTTTTTGAGTTTCATTATAATTTATAATTATTCAGTTTTCAGAGAGAATCTGGAGATAAAAGACAGAGAGATTAGGCGATTTTTCAGGAGATATCCACTGTCACTTTATAAAGAAAAAGAAAGATTGTTATAAAATAAGTGTCCTCAGCATATTAGAAGGTATTAGAATACCTAAATGTTTGTTTACTAAGAAAACATTCTTCCTGAAATATACTGGTTGGAAATAACATTACAAAAAACTCTGTGAGGGAAAGGTGAGATGCATAATATGAGAGTATTAAAACTTATTTGCTCAGTCTCTTATTTTACAGTTTCAGCTTAGATCTGAAGTCCACGCAGCTCTAACTCATCAAACTACCTTGTAATTTACGTTGTTATAATTCCCGGCAACTAATAAAAGGTACAACAATTAAGGTCTTAACTGAGCAAACGGAGGATCTTGTAATAACAACCCTTGCTCACTCCTTCCCTTTTCCCCATTGTTATTAGCATTAGGTGCTTCATTATGTCAAAATCAGACTGTGCTACTCCTTTGTTCTTACACATTCTTGTGTTGTGAGCAGTAACCTGGCAGCCTCCCTCCTATCATCAGAGGCTCCCTGTACTGGCAGTGTGAAAGAGGGAGTTTCATCTGGAGGCAGACCGAGGAGCCAGGACACATCATCATCATCATCAGGCTTTTGCAGCACTGAAGACAAAAAGAGTTCAAGGTAATTTGTTATGAATATATACTAGACCACATCCTGTGGTTATTGCTCCACGTTTAGGCATATCAAGGTCAAAGGAGATACTCATTTAAGACGTACAGGTCTTGGACACTTTATTGTGTTAGCGCCTTCTGTAGAGTTAGGATTTTTTTTTTTTGTAAGAGAGACCCATGTTGTAAATGTAGGCTACATAAAACTTGACTGACTTTTGGGAAAGGGATGTTATTACACGCTACCTAAAAGGCTCTTGAGATATTTTTGGCCACTCAATAAGTAATGAAAATATATATTCAGCACTTCAATGCAGCCTACTTAATATTCTAAATGGGTGAAAGCACCACACCCACATTTACTTTTAACTAATGCTCATCTTTTATCATCGTTTGCTTGTTTTTTTCTTAAATCATTAGTAAGATTTTAAAAACATTCATAGAGTCAAATAAATCACAGATTTAAACTGTTCTGACAGCTTTTTATTCTTAGGTAAGTGGAGAAAGTATCAGTAACATACAACTTGAGTACCCTTCACTGGATGGCCTATATTGGCCACTGACTTCCAGAAAATCAGATGCTGAATGGTAAGCTTCCTTTTCTTTTCCCTTTCAACATCATCTTGAACATCTTTATTTTTAGGATTGTGTTTCCTCAAACGTGTTCATAGCTAGTGTAGCAATTAACATTCTTAGTACTCATGTCCTTTTTACTGCTACATAAATTTACACTTGCTGAGCCTTTAAACAAGTTGTGTAATGCACGCTGATCCCCAGTTTTACACAGTTTCTCTATGTCTAGAACCTGACTGAATGCGTGAGAGCTCTGAGTGGTAGCAGAAGTCATCTCTGGACATACACATTCACAGAATCAATTTGTCTGTATATTCGCAGTACATGTTGACACGTTTAGCAGAGATACATGATAAAAAGCACCTGATACATGCTCTTTTTCTGTGCACAGTACAAAGCAATGTAATAAGACACACCTAAATGTGTGTGCCAACAAGTATTCTGTCCTCCAGCCAAACGTCCTTTAACAGAGTCAGAGCCCTCACATAAAGCACTTGTTTTCTCATCAGCGTTATACAAATAACCAATTTCCCAGGGGCACTTTCCATTTTACTCCCTATTGCTCCCAGCTTTCCCAAATCATATGCATTTATAACCTGCTAACAGGACAAAAACATTGAAACATTAAAATAAAAGCATAAAATAAATGTATCTTGTTCCTTGTGAGTCAAGTGCAAAAGTTCTAATAATGTCAGCAATTTTAGCAAATTATCTAGAGTTTGACTATAACAAAAATAAATCAGGAATTTCTCTAACATTTATCTCTAACATATAAGAATATTTTTTCATAGGACTACGTAACATCTTATATACAGTTATGTGAACCATCTTTCGCTTCCATTCCAAACTGCTTAACATCTCTGAGACAACTCCACGGTTTGGGGCGGAGAAAAGAACAAGAGAAAAGTCTCAAGCACGATGCCTGTCCACATGTGCTGAAAAAATGCAGGTAACCCTGGCTCCTGCAGTTCCTCAGCTCATCGATCTTAAATCAGGTCTTTTCCACCTGCTTTTACAGAATATTACACCCACTGCCTGTCTCAACCTTCTTTTTCAATATGCTCTCTCGTTATTTTGTTCCTTGCTTTGGGACATTCCCTTTTGCTTCTTTCTCAGCAACTTCAGATCACCAGAAATAAGCTGCCATTAATCAAATGATTTCTAACTTCCCGGCAGAACTCAAGCACATATTGCTGCACGTTGTAGTTCTTGGATCACATTTTGAGGGACTGTGGCATAAACCAACATAGATGTCACCCAGTCTTAGGAGATTCAATCAATCAATAATCCAAAAGAACCTCTTTGCATTGAAACCCATGATTAACCCATGCATACAGGACAAATCTGTGTTAATTTCAGGGAGGCATATCTATGAAATTTAATTAAACACATTTAACTGTAATTTATCAACTTTATTGCCCCACACAAGTGAATTCTATCTTTGGCAACTCCTCCAACCTGTAAATCTTATGTTCTGATCTCAAAAAGTCTAAAAGCTGAAAATACCCAGCTCTTTCTATACCTCTGAATGAGCTCAACTAACAATTTGGTAAATACTAGCTCCCATAAAAAAATCCAGTCAACTTTATCCTGCTGTAAATGAACTGACAGAAAGACATTTTTCTTTAAAAAACTTGCACTATTGCCTAACATTTACAGTGGCCCACCAGCACCAATATTAAATGAGCTCCTTATATAAGATTTCATCAATAAAGTCTGTGTGATAAATCTGTGCTATTTTTATGTCTGTACCTTTGAGAGTTCACCTGTTTCTTATTTGCAAAAGACTAGATGCAATTCCCTGCATCTGATTAGATTTCACTTGGCATTGTGCTACTAGAACAAAACCCAGAACTGTTAACATTTCCTGGCAATGACTCGTATCTATACCATTGACTTCCATTTGAGAAACCACTAGAAACGGTTTAGCCAATGTTAAGTATCATTTATTTTTTAGGCACGTTATACAGATCAGTAAACAAAGTCAATTAAACTAACAATACTGTATCTAATGACATTACTCATTTATAAGACTATGTTCTCATGGGTTTACGATTATGCAGATGTAAGTTAGAGCATTTGAAATAGCCTTCGTCATGACTTTGATGAATACTGAAAATTAGGCCACTGAAAAAAATGCCTGGAAAATTATCCCAAGAGGAAAAATTTATATTTTGACAGAAATGGCTTCATTTTGACATATTTATAATACAAAACAAAGCTAAAATAGAAATATTTGTAGGAACTGTCATAGCAACCTGTTTTGATTTAATTTGCCAAAATTCTGTTACAGAAATTACTCAGTTTTTACAAAGTATTTTATGTAGTTTGCATGAAGACATGGAATGGATCCTACTACCCTGTCAGAGAAATTTCCAAAATAGGATAATGGCAGTTTTCCCCTCCCCACAACATATTATTTATTTCAAGTCTTACCATCATTTTACTTTGATATATGTTCCTTCAATATTTCTGAGCAGGTTCATTAATTTAATGAAAAAGCATCCTCTGTTTTTGTTCCTTCATTTTTTAAGGGATGTTCACTCAGCTATCATTCAAATACGAAGAACGTTTTGAAAATGTAAATATTCCTGCAGTGTCATTCCCACTTGAGGTGTGCTGCATGTAAGGCATGTAAGGCCTTATGTAACTCTTGACCTGATCGATCAAAAGGTGCAACCACTTTCAGAAGTACTAAGCTGCATAATTCAATTTGAATGTGCATAGCATTTTTGATATTGAAATCAGGTTTTTTATCTAAATGTGGCATGCTCATTTGACATGGAGCATTCTTCTCACACTTCTCATACTTCTCTCACAATTAACAGGATTTTTGAAATGTCATTTTCTTTCTGTTTGAAACTACATCCATTTTCAAACTGGAAGTGGATGAGGCTGCTCCTAGGTGACTGTCTGCCTTCATAAGTCTATGTGATTATTCACACTGGTCATGACAAACAGACAAACACAAAAAGGAATTCTTTATATCATTTTTTAACTGTCAATGTAAAATGAGGGCAGGGCAAAGAGGTATGAAATACTCTAGGCTTACTGCTCATGATTTATTAATTTGTTCATAATCAAAACTCCTGAACTTTAGGTTGATGTATTGCTATTGTAAATGATAAAAAATTTCTTAGTTGAAGTACATGATCTTTAGCAGAAGAAAAGGTTTGACCTTTCTAAAAAAGTTAATTAACAAGAAAGACTCTGTAAATTAGGTCAAAAAGACCATTAAGATGCAAGAAAATTTCAGCTTACAATGGATTGGTCACCATCAGTAGTAGCTCTTGTTATCAGCTTTTCATTATTTAATTTTGGTCTTGATTTTTCTCCTCTTTTTTTACTTACAGCTGCTGCTTCTTTAGAAAAATCAACTTTCTGTCATTTTCATGATTCATCAAGGCCTGAAGGAAAAGACCAGAATCATCCATAGTCTTTTCATTTGTGGCACAGACCACTAACAACTTTACTAACTTTCTTCAGGACAGTTTTAGGTAAAAGTCTTTTGTGCATTTTTACAGATAATGGAAAGATGCATCGTCTTGGGCTTCTGTCAATAGAAAAAAAAAATAGAAATTAGAAATTTTACATACTTCAAGATGTGGGAGATAATTTCTGTAAACGTTACTGTGCCTAAAACAAATGTGATTCTATCTCACCACTGCTTTGTGCTCACAAGATAGAAAATATATTTAAGTGACTGTATTTCTTTTGATATAAAACATTTAGCAGGTAATATATCACAAGTATCTGTTTTAAACCTTAATTAAGTACAGAGAATCTTTATTGTAGTGCAAACCAGAAATTATAAGCAAAAAGAAAGGTTAATAAAAACAAGTTTCTTTTTCTTGTAAACAAAAAATTCTACAGTTTAGATTACCTCTGCCTCTAGATTATCAAGATGCAATGTCAGATATGAATATTCCCTGTCATGTTTTTTCTACTAAAAGTCTCATAAAGACCAGAGAAGCTTGCATAATAAAACCTGAGAAAGGACCAAAATTTAGCCCAATACCCATAAGTGACATTGCAGAAAAGTACTGTGATTCGGTGGATGAATCCAGCAATTTTCACATGGATGAATGAGTACCAGAGAGCTTTCCATCCCACCTCATATATACAGAAAGCACAACAGGACGTAATAATTGAAAAAGCACAAGGTTGAGGACAGTAATTTCCCTGAAGTGAAGCAAATCCATTGGCTGTTTTCTTCAACAGCGGAATACCTGATGAACTGCATTTGGAGCCATGGCAGCACAGAAAACCCTTCTGTTCCTCAGACTGAAAATTTTAGAGAGAGTCATTCTTACTTTGTGACAGTTATTAGGATCCAGATATTAATCCTTGTCCCTAAGCCTTTCTTTGGTTAGGAAAAGAAAGTAATTCTGGGGACAGAGGAGTTCCAGAACACAACTTCAACTCGTTCTGCAAAGGCATGAGCCAAAAATACACACTGCAGATTTTATTCTGTGTACCTTCTGCCTAGTTCCTCTACTACCTCCTGTCCCTTCTCTCACAGTGTCAGCCCAGTTCCCTCCTTTGGTCTCCCTCTCACTTGTTCTCCCCCATAGAAAAGACTACCTGAACATATACTCTGTGTATATATGAACTACACTGTCTTATAGTTTGCAACATAATTGTTTACCTCTGATAAGTTTCATTAACTGATATCCCTAGCAAGAAAAAACTATATTCTGGCACTGAGTAGGATTCACAGTCATAGACAGATTTCCTGTTGTTTTGATGCACCATGCAAACATAAGAAAACAGAGCTTGTTTTCCAAGGAGCTAACAACATCAGCAGTGCAAGACATGAAGTGTTTACAAACAACAGATGGGAAACAGCTAGAAGGTGGTGGTCAACATGAAAAGCAGAGCTCTCCACTTAAGAGCTGCTTATCTGATCAAGGTTTTTGTAGGAGAGGAGCTTTAAGGAAAGATATGAAAAAGAATTTTTTATGATATATGTATAATTAAGAAAACTTAGAGGTAGAGAAACTTGAGGCAGCTTTAAAGAAGTCAAGTCTTATTCAAGGAAGCTTGAGGAAATGCTGAAAAGTTACATTTTCCTGAGTCTCAGTCTTTTCCCTAGCTGCTACACCTGTCCAGATACAACATGATTCATTTTGCAAATGTGAGAGAGATATTTTATGGCATTCAAATGGACTATTCCAAACTTCATAGCACATTCTCTGAATATGTGCAAGATTTCTGAACCCTTCTTTTTCCATCTCCCCTTCAAAATATGGAGGTGCAATAAGTCTGCCACACATGGCCCTTCTTGCAATTAAAGGATGAGAGATGACATCCACAAACACACTCCCCTGTCCTGCTAAAAAGTGGCATCAACTGAAGTTAAAAATAAAGTTTTACCAAAATTTTTAATCTATTCCTGTGGTTTTGAGAAGTAACCATTTAGGAAAAAGGCCTTATAATAGGCTGCTATGGTGGTCATTAACCTAGTCAACATTAGTCCAACAACAGCAAAGAGCAGATGTCCTTTTTGTGTTTCTTTTGAATTTTTCAAGTCAGCTTTCTTAAAGAGGTGAAGGTAGTTGCCCCATCCTCTCCAGCATAAAAAAGTGGATAGACATACCCCCTGTGTTTTTTTTTTTTTTTCAAAACAAACTGCATCTGCTACTTGCCTTCTAGTTACTTCAGAGGTAAAAAGTCAGAGTAAGTCCCTGGATGCTGACTGACAGATTCTTTTAAGCCAGAGAAAACAGTCAAAAGGGGTGGCAGAGGGCATGGCAGGCAGCAGACTCTTAGTGTCAGAACCCACCTTGCATATGACTCTTTATACAACATCCAATTTAAATGACCTGCAGGGTGTGAAGGCTTTACTGTTGCTTACTGTGCTGCTCATGCTAATATCTAGCACAGAAGTGTCTCACTGCAGAGGAGAAGCAAGAAATATTTGCAAGCCAGTGTTCAAGCAAACGTGCCAGAAATGACATACCCGAGCCAAAATACAGGTCTGTAAAATACCTACCCAAAAAATACCCAGATGTGGTCAGGGATGGTGAATGATTTTAGTCAATCCCTGTATATTTATGTGCACTCAATCAAGTCTGAAAGGTAATGTCTTATTAATACAAGGCACTGAAATACCTTTCAGAGGTGCTAACAATCTCCCTTCAGCATAGGCAGGCAACTACTTACTTTAAATAAACAACCTGTTAGTTGGTTTGTCTTTAAAAATAACTGAGCCTAAAAGAAGCTTAAAGCATTCCAAGTTCCACTTGCAGCTTTCAAAGTCTGCTCGAGTTGCCTAAGAGATATAGATCCTCCTCAATTTCTCTCACTCAGATATTAGTTAACTGATCCTTTCCATTAAAAACCCTGCTAGTCTTAGCTTTCCTGTTCTCAGAAATTCGCTTTTTCAATAAAGCACAAATGTCCAAATAGGAACAGGAGTTCAGGATTAGGTGGTGAAAGAAACAAAGTTCATCTAGACACGAAGAGGTATTGAGATAATAACAGAGGAAGTAAGAATTCAAAAAAGTTCCTGTTACTGAAGCAAACAGTCAAGGCCATTTTTAGCAATAATCTCTCTTCATCTTGAAGAAAGTTCTACAAAAGAAAAGATGAGCAAAAGGTATGGAGGGGTTTTTTTTTGTGTATGCAGACACAATGTTGAGACTTTATGCTGGAGGAAAGGGGATAATTCCTTCTGTGGTATGTTCACAAGAGCCAGATGTAAAGATAAAAACACACTTTGTAATACTTCAGGAAGTGGACTAACCTATTTAAAAACTGAAACCATGTCAAATATTAGGTTTTACTGAAGAAGTTGATCTTGTACAGTATTTGGATGCTAGGAAAATAGAAGAAAATAGAGAAGAAGAACTACATGACAGATATATTATAGCAAAAGCTAAATGCCTAGCAGTTAAGACAAATGTGTAGAAAAAAAATAAGATAAACTGATTGCTACATTTAAAAAAAAAAAGAAAAAATATGGAATTAGCATTAAGATATAATATTGTGGCTATATTTATAAATATGCTCAGATTATTTTTAGATCTACCCTCAGTGTAAATTTTTTTTTGTATGCTGGAGAATATATAATTTCTAGATTATTATCCCCATTATCCAAAAATAACTTTGTCAGAGAATTCACGTAACATGTAATTTTATGGAGAAAACCTGTATTTGCTGGGTATCATGTCACAACTATTGCAATAATAGGTAACAGACTATGGCTCGATTGCTACAAATTTAAATGGTATGCAGAAGAAAATTACTTCCAGTACATTACATCATGTCAAGGTACATGCTATCTAATGTTGTAATTAAAAAAAAAAGAAAAAAAGAAAAATATTCGATAGATAATTTGAAAGTCAAGTTCAGATCTGTCCAGGCATCAGTAAACTATAGGTCAGTATTTTAAAATCGGGATTGCTATGTGCTGAAATTTGCTATGTGATACCCTTGGGACCACAACTGCCAACACACAGTTCCTTAAGCAGAGAAACTTAAAACCCCCTTGATTACCTTCACTTTTTATCCCAGGGATTATGCAGCTTTGAGTTCTTCAAAAGCAGCAAAGAGCACTGCACTGCCCTTACAGAACCTAAATGCTTTTTCTGTCATGCAATATCCACAATGTAAATACTGAAAATTGTCTACAGAACTCGTAAGACACCATGGTTTCTCCTATCCATCCACATTCCAGCTGATCACACCACCACTACAGATCTAGGTCCTGCGTTAATGTCTTTCAACAATGATCCCACTCATTTCCTGATGGCCTTTTAAGGACTATCACACCAACGTGAGGTGACTGGGCATAATCTGAAGGTTCATCTGGCACACGGTGGGCTGAGGCTGTGGGATACTGCTTCAAGAACCCCAACTCTTCCAGGACCTTTTTCCCATGTGTATTTAAGTGTCTCCAAACGTGTATTCTCCTCCAAATTCTGCACATCATGTTTCTACTTCAAACAGCTGTTCTCAGTAAAAGCTAAAGTGAATGCAACTTGTATCTGACTAGTTGCTCCTTTGAGTAACTATGTATTGCAGAACTCAACATGAAAATCTTAAGTAAAGATTAAATGGCCAACAGGGACCAGGCTCACTAATAAATATGAAGCATATGCTCTTTGTATTTTCTATAGTTCTTATTCTAATGCTTCTTATTTTCCATGTACATACTTAAAATTTGGGTTCCTTATTGTGACAGACAGTTCCACAGTTGATACAGAACTAAAAAACCAACCTGTATTTACAAAAAACATCATGCATGTTTCACTTAAGCAGAATAGCCTTTTTGCCTGTCTTGCTAATCACGGTGCCCAATATTTCTGATGTTTTGGTCATGTCTCTTTCCTATACGTAGCTGAATGTTGTCAGTGGGAGATCCTATGGCAGTTGCAAGCATTTGTCAGCTGTCAGTTGGCCTCCCTTGTTTGGTAAGAGCTACATTCATTTACAGAGTAGCTTAGCAGTTTATCTCAGTTTTTAGTAAACAGTGGTAACAAATTTAGTTTTGTCCCTTTTCTTTGAGACAGTTAACAGTGATAAAAAATAAAGGTAGTTTCAAAAATTGGTTAATAACCTAAAGGAAAGAAAGAAATGTCTAAACAATAGATGAAGCCCTCTTTCAGGACCATGAAAAAAAATAAGTTCACACAGCTCTTCCAGATTTTCATAGCTCTTTATCGCATTCCAGCAGACCTCTTAGCAACAGTCCAGCAATTCATGTCTTCTCTCTTAGATAAAAGTAATCTGGACTATGTAATTAATATGATTTATTTCTTAAATTGACACACTTTAAACAGAAACACACACAGTTAAATGAGTCCTTTGATTCAAATTTACAAGAGATGTATTTGCAGCTCAGTCACTGGTGAAGGGAAGAAGTTATATCATTTTTCATAATCACGCTTATTTACTATTTGTGGTTCTTATATTTATACTGTAGCTCATGTTCATTTTAGTCAAATGCCTGGAGAAACATTTAGCTGACATTCAATTAGTGATGTAATGCACTGTGATAAAGGAGTAGGTAATTTACTATGTTCTACTTGGGAACTTTGCTTTTTTCCATTAATATTCACAATAGACCTAGCCAGTTACAACAAAATAAGGTACTGCTCCCACCTAGAACCAGCAATCCAAAAGACAGGGAGTACAGAAATGAAGGCAAGAAAAGAGAAGGTGTCTAGGTAAAGGTTTCCTAGCATCACTTGGCTCCATTCAATAGGATGAGAAAGACAACACCAGTACCTAAAAAAGTAATTTGATGCAACTTGAAATCCTATTAAAGACACAAACTAAATGACTAGTTTTCCTTACAGCAATAATTTACACATCATCATAAAGGGCTGGCCAGCCTAGCATGATCTCTCTTTACACATGCAGAATAGGTCATGTTTCAGTCCTAAATGATACTGTGAGGTTAAAATAATTCCAAGTATTTCTGTATACTAGTGTGTGTGACTACTTACATCTGTTATATGGCCATACCAGGTATGTGCCATAATGAATCTGATCACATTTAAATTAATATTTAAATGAGTTATTGCCTAAGAAATTGTTTTCCCTGCTTCAAACTCTCCCCTGGACTCCGTTGTTGTGTCGTGACACAGACAATTAAGGTTCCAATTCAGCTCCCTTCCTTATTTATTCATTCTAAAAAATAACGTAGATCCTGACAACACTTTTCTGACTGTGGAAGAGAGAAGACTGGCAACTACTGCCTCTACTTGAGGCCTGACAGATACCAGTAATACTAGCATCATTCCCTTACAGCCTGAGGCAAGGAAACTGTTTTGGCAAGACCCCTCCAAGCCTCAAACAGTCAAGAAAAGGTAAAAGTGTGGAAGGACTCATCCCTCCCTCTCCCCTTCCCTTGTTGCCTGTGAGTTTACGTAGAAGCTGGCGAAGCAGATGGATGCCACAAGAAGTGCAAAGGATGCATGGAACAACAGCACGTAAATGGGCTTCACACTGCCTCGAAAGAGCAAAGTTCCTTCAGCGACACCTACTCCACAAGGATCCTCTGCCACTGGGGCTTACAGGACTTGAGGCTCGGTGATTTTGGAGCAGGATGGTGGCAGCGTGTTCCATCCAAAAGAAACAGCAGAAGAAGGTGCTGCAGCGTAGCGAAAAAAAAAAAAAAAAAACAAACTTAAGCTTGGTAAGATTAGCAATACAAGTGAAGTAACAAAACCAAAGAAAAGCGCAAAGCTTTGCAGAGAGGGACAGAACCTGACATTTGGTGCAGAGAACGCAGGGCTGTAGAACACCCAAGCAACGAGAAAGCCATAAGCAAAGTTTTCGTAGTTTAAGAGAACAGGAGAGCCGAAGTTACTGCAATCGGTCCTAACGACACACTCAGAGAGCAATTATCTTCCCCCCCCTGCGTAGTATCCGAAGAACTGCAAGAAATCATTACGTGATTAGATCCACCTGAACACCCTCCCCAGCTCTTTGTTCGCCGGCCCCTCCTGTCACAGCTTCCAGCGCTGTCCCTCAGCGACCGGGGCTGCGCCAGCGAAGCCCCCGCTGCCGGGCACGGCCCCTCCTCGGCGGTACCACCCGCACAAGACGGACACGCCACCGACACCGAACCGCACCTGTCCGCGGCCGGGACGCGCCATCCCCCTTCCCTTCCCCACCCGCTGCCGCTTTCCAGGCCGCCGGATCGCGGTCAGGGGTAGCCCCTCTCCTCCGCCATCCCGGGCCGCGCTCCCGAGCCCTCACCCGGCCCCTCGCAAGCCCCGCTCCCCTCACACCCCCAGCCCCGCGCTGCCTCCCTCCTCCTCCTCCTCCTCTTCCCCCGCCGCACCGCCCCCTCCCTCCTCCCTTCCCTCCCTCCCTCCCGCGGCCGCTTGGTAACGCCGTTTCCATACTCACAGCAACTGCGCACTGAGGCGGCCCGGGGACCCGCTTCGCCGGGACCGGCAGCGGCGGAGGCCTCTCCCCCCACCGCCGCCCCCTCGGCGGGGCAGCTCCCCGCTGCTGCTGCTGCTGCTGGCGGCGGCGGCGCAGGCGCGCTGCCGCCTCCCCTAGTGGCTGCCGCGGGGAGGCCGGCGGCCGCGGCGGCAGCAGCTCCCGCGTCCCCTCAGCGCCGAGCGAGCGAGCGCGGCGGCGGAGGGCGGGAGGCGGGGGCCGGGCGCTGTGTGAGGGAACCGCGCCGCACACCCAGCCTTCAGAAACCGTCGCTGCTGGGGAGGAGGAGGCGGAGGCGGCGGCGGCGGCGAGAGATTCTCCCACCCCCACCCACCGAGCTGAGGTGAGGCCAGGGCAAAGCATCCTCCTTTCTTCCCCTCATCCCTTCCTCCCTTTCATCCTTCCCCCCCCCCCCCCCCCCTCCCCGAGCTCCTTCCTTTTATCCTTCTTTCCTTATCCTCTTTCCCCCCTTATCTCGCCCTCCCCTCATCCTTCCTTGCGCTTCCTGGTCCTCCTTTCCTTTCTTCTCTCCTTAGCCACCTTTCTCCACTCCTCCCCATCCCCCAGACTCCTTCTCCCCGTGCCCACATTTTGCACCCACCAGAAATAATAATCATGCCTGCCTTTTTTTTTTTTTTTTTTTTTTCTTTTTTCTTTTCCTTTATTTTATTTTTTTTTTTTTTTTTAAATGCAATTGTAATTCTCGCCCAGTGAAAGAGGGAGAGAGAAAGAAACACAGTCGGTCACAGAGAGAGATAATCCCCCTCTCCTTTAAAGAATGGATTTGAATTAATGGTCATTTTGTGGTGTGTGTATTATGGGAAGAGGGGGATTATATTTAGGGAAGAAAAGAAAGGGTCAAAGGTGTGTTGTTTCACTTATTCATCTATTTACCTAACATCACTTTGAGGTGAAATCTATCTCTGTATTATTTTAAGTATGTGGGGGTTTTTTTTGTTTGTTTGTTTGTTTGTTTTTTTTTTTTTAATTTATTCTCCTTTCTTCAGGCATCAGAGGTTTCTTCCTCCCTTTTATCCATCTCCTGTGTGTCTCTGTAATTTACAGCCGCTGCTGCTGCTCTGATTGTCTCAGGCGGGAGCCGGCGGGGAAGGGGCGCGGGGAGTGGTGCTGTGCGGTGGGGAAGGGGCGACGGGCACCGGCAGAAAGCAGCTTCCTCCATCCCTTCCCTCTAGGCCTCTTCCAAGGGCTGAGACCTTTCTAACCACCCGCTTCATAGCCCAGCCATAATCCAGCCCGAAAGGTGCCAGCACCCATCAAAGGATTTTGCTCCGGTGGCAAAGAGTGAAAGTTTAAAACGTGGCTTTGTCTTTATGTGGAGCGCGCTGGGGGATGGCGAAAAGCTGCGTGGATGTTGGCTGAAAGGCGACGGCCAAAGTGTCTCCCTGAGTGGCTTCTGGAGTGGGAGAAGTTTTGCGTAGACATGGTGGTGGTGGGGAGCAGCGTCGCTGCTGCGAGACTTCCCTGGCTGCCTTGCCCCTTTGGGAGGTGGCGTGGTGGATGCGTGTGCTCAGGGGAGCGTCAGTACGCCAAGGGTTCGGGAAAGTAACTTTTACGTATTTACAGTGGGGTATAGCGTGAGGAGTAGGTAGCATGCACCTGCTTCGCTGTAGATTGGAGGGCTGAATGCACTCCCTTGTGTCTCGCCAGTTGTGTGCGATGCCTGTTTTCTTCTTAAGGTGATGCTCTGTCAGTCGAAATGATCAGTTGGTGATTGTATTTCTTGCCGCATCAGTTGCATAGTGGCAGAATATTTGTTTGATTATTAACATGCTTCAGACAATTTCAGCCTTTTTAAGCTTCTGTTTGCTGAATTAGAAGTTTGTTTATACTTCATTGGGATAGATATGTTTCAACCCCCCTGTTATTTTACAAATCTGTAGATACCACAGCAGCCGATTCTGTAGCAAAACTCTATCAGCCTGAATAATGTTAAAACACACATGTTATACATTATCTTGGCACGTATCCCTAAGAAATGTTGATTCTGTTAACTTGTCAAGATTGCAGCGAATGCTGTGTGTCTTGGAGTACAAGGTAGATAAGTAGCATAAATAGGGGTGGTCTTAAATGATGTTGCTGATGTGAACAACAGATTTTACTGGCTTTATGGCTATTACAATGCTGCTGGTTTTCTTTTTTGCCTATAGTTTGATATTTTGCCTATGATTGATATTATGTATTGTATCAGACTTTTCATATTCCAGCTCAAACAGAATTTTTTCTAGAGGAGAAAAAGTAACGACCTGAAGGATGAACTTTTGCAGTCAATTGTGTAAATCATTGTTTACAGATATAGCCACCTTAGCTGTGTACAAGATAGCTGTAATTCCATTAATGGGCTCTGTCAATGACAAAAGCCTCAACAGTAAAGCTCCAGTGTCACTTGAGCCCTCCCATGGAAATGCAACCCTAATTTATGCAGATTTCTGAAAGCTCTTTTAGTATTAATGTTGAGCATGCATAGTACCTCTGAAATGCCTTTGAACCAATGAAAACCAAGAGTATTCATATACTAAGACTTTAAAACCAAAGGAAGCAATCAGATCTTCTGCTCTGACCCCTTGACTATTACATTCAGTTGGATCTTATCCAGCTACTTTTGAGTGCAATACCTCACATTTGGCCAAAACATATTTTCCAGAAAAAAATTGGAATTTTGATCGGAAGACACTAAGAGGTAGACAATCTGCTGTTTAAGTTATTTGGCTTCAGCTTCCAGTCACTGGTTACTGATGTGCCTTTCTCCACTATGCTAAAGAACTCAAGGTGTTTTCTTACCATGGAGGTATTTATCTTCTGTAACGTAGTATTCCCTCTCTTTTCCATTTGAAAAAAAACAAGCGAACTAAAATTTTTTTAAATTTGTCACTGCATGTGTTTTCCTCACAACTCAGTTTCTGTGTCTTTCCAAATCCACTTTTTCAGCATTTTTGTGAAAACATGAGCTGGATATAGTATGCCCATGCCTTTTCTCAGGAATGTTTTGTGAGTTTAAATATTACCTCTCTAGTGTTACTCTTCTGTTTATACATTGCATTTACATATTAAACCTTCATCTGCAGCACTGTATTCTGATCTCATTGTCACTGTGGCAAACCCTTTGCAGGACTGTTTCTTTCCACAAGAGTTCATCATTCTGTATACCAGTATGTGTTTCTTGATTTTTAGTGTTATAACTTTGTACATGGCTTTTTTTTAAGAATGTTTTTTTTTTTTCTAGCATAGATTGAATATATCAAACACTCCTGGTTGCTTTTTTAACTGATTTATCTCAGTTATGTAGCATTCCATCAATTTATAACTTTTACAAATTTTGTCACAATTGATTGTATACACTTAGAAATAAATGAAAAGGTGTTTCATGACAGTGGCTCCACCTTTGGGGAACTCCATGTTAATCTGAGTTATGTTGTGATGTGTTTTTCTTGAAAGCTGTTTTTTTCTTTTTGAAATGTCACTTAACCAGTACTTCACCCGTTTAACTGGTGCTATTTTTTCATCAGGCTGTCATAGGATACTACATCAAGTGCTGCAGAAGTTTATACATGCATACAGACGTTTTTACCAGTTGGAAGTAGCAATTGTATCAAAGAATAAAACTAGATTCATTTAAGAAGATCTATTTTCATTAATTTTACTTCCTATTATTTGTTATAGAACTTCAATGTATCAACTGAATCTACCATATTTTTGTAAAAATTATTGTTTACCTCAGGACTGCCATCGTTCTAACCTTCCTATAGCTATAAACACTTGTTTCATTAGCTTTTTTAGAGTAAGCTTGTAACATTAATGTTCATTCAGATTTCTGAAATTTCCCCGGTATTGTCAGAATTGCTTAAAAATTCATGTCTGTGGGATAGACGCCTTCTTGGGCACTTCTGTGAGAACTCTCTTCTGTGGTGATCTTTGGTCCTGCTCATGGAAAAAGTGGTTATTGCAAAGTAATATTGTTTTAATGTTGTACTTGTAACAGACTGAAGAAGTAGTTAATTGTTCTCATGAGGTACCAGCAAATCATCCCACTTCTTTACAAATGTAGAATTACTTATTGAATGCATCTGCCCTTCTGCACTGTTAATGTAATCAGAGTCCCTGTTTAGTAGCACACCTGTGTGAGGGCTGAGATGTCTTTTGTTCTTACAAATCCTCACCTTCCCCCCCCGTTTTTTTCCTGTTGCCAAGAAATGTCTTCATCCTCACCTATCAATTTTTTACTCTATGTTTCAAAAATTATAGAGTTTGTCATCCCTTAATACTTTTCTTCTTGTTATGTATGGCTTCTTACTTCTAATAGCAGTATTTATTGAAATCTGGTTTGTTCCAAATTGTTGTAGTTATGACTATGCCTTCTAGGTATTACATGCTGTCTGAACACGCAAGTATGAGATTTGGGTTTTTTCTGTGTACAATGACACAGCCATACTATTTACTACATCTCAGAGCAGAGTAGGATTTTGCTTTTAATATAGAATGTTTCAAGGGTTGGCTAAAGAGAGCTAAACTCTTTATAATTTTCTCTATACTTTGTTCATAGATGATACAAAGCATAGGACATACTTTGGTTTTAGATATAATACCAAATGGTATTGGAAATACGAAGGGCAGGCATACAGAAATAAATAATACAATACATAGATGGAAATATGAAGGGCAGGCATACAGAAATAAAGAATAACAACGTTGACCTAATAGTAATTACAGTAGCATACTTAGGTCATAATTTCATTGGAGTTTTTGTGGCTCAGGTGTGTAGAAATTGTTTCCCTAAAGCTAATTTGAGGTAAGATGCCAGAAAAAGAACAGAATTGGAGGGGAAGATGAAAGTGAAGATGAAAGTTGTATTTTAGAGGCTAGCTAAGAGCTGCTTCTTGACTAAAATAAACTTGTTTATTTCATATAAACACAGCATTTGTTAGGATAAACTTTCTTGAGGAATTAGATAAACAGTGAAGTGTACCAGCTGACCAGCGAGAACTTTCCCAAGGCACAACTTCCAACACAGCAGGCTTCTGCAGGAAGCAGAGGTGGCTGAGACTCTAGTTCCTCTGTGGAGCGAAATGGGTAGGGTCCTCCAGCTGCATCAACGACACCATGAATGTGTCTGTGATCAAACTGCTTCAAAGCCTAGCATGCCTTGAATGCTGTTGGAAAATAATTGCATTAATATTCTAGTGTAAAAGAGACAAAAGTGTTTAAGACTTCTGTAACAAGTAAGTTGAAGACATGACCACAAAGAACAGAAACCAGGTTTTGGGCCATTAAAAGAAGTGGTTAATAACTAAGTTATTCTTGTATTCCAGCTTCTTACTGTTTTATAGGAAATCATAATATATCTAAAT